AATTTCGACGAAAGCTGTATTTCTAGAATTTTTTGTAAAAAAAAAAATTCAAAGAAATTTATTTATAAAAATAAATTTCAATTAAATGTTTTATGAAAAGTTAATTTTAAGAAAACATTTTATAAAAATTAATTCAAAACTACTTTCAAACAATTAAAACACAGTGAGCGTAGCGGCCGACCATATAGGGTATGGTCGGTCGCTACCACGGAACTCTAACGTTCTGCGGATGTTTATTCCGAGCCAGGGCAATATTCCGTGATATTTGCGCCCTCTTGCTCGATTAGAGGTCAACAGCACCTCTTCCTTATACTGGCATATTTTCCGAATATTACTAATATTCAGTACAGCCCTTCTAATACTTGTCCAGATTACCTTCGCTGTGGACTGTGTTGTGATGTTCGGCTTTCAATTTTGGTCTATAGATCGACTCGAAAAAACACAAAAAATTAAGTTTTCGGTCCACATTATTTCAATATTATTATCTGATCATCACCGAAAATTATAGGCGTTGTCCTTGACCATAACTGGAACATGAAATGCTCCATTTCATGGAACATTTCAAAGCGATCAACGCTTCAATTCCGCCTTCCAGTGTGGTAATGGATTACTAAATGCTATATGTAAATATTTACGTGTAACTCCCACATCCGAGTACATACGACAATATAATTGGTATCAAATTAAAGGCCAACCACTCCTCTTGGATATATTATCAACTTCTAGGGTATATGTCCTTCAAGGGTTAATATATACGCCATAGAATACAAATTTTGTCATTTTTCACACAAAAGTCGGGGAACATTTGAACCGCTAATAACTACCGACCTTTGTCAAAACAGGCATGCTTATACTTCGGCCCGATCGCCTTCTCCATGTAAAATTTCACGATGTTCGGGCAATTGCTATTGCGGCCTCTGGAGCGACCAAAAAACGGATAAAAATTAAGTATTTGGTCCATTTCATCCCCTAAATATTAACCGATCTTTACCAAAAACAATAGGTGTCTTCATTGGCCACAACCCATCCTACACGCGTACAATTCGTGGAGATTGGTCCATAACTGTGGTCTGTATCGTGTTTACAAATTATAATAGACAGAAGGACGGACGGACACACATGTCTAGATCGACTCAGCTAGTCGGGATATGACGATCGGTATACTTAAAGGTGGGTCTAGGACCGCGGCGTTACAAACTCTTGGGGCATAGGTGGGTAGGGTACAAAAAGTATTTTCAAGACAATTTTTTATAAAAATTTTATTTCTAAGATTTTTTTTGTAAAAATTAAATTTCAAAATTTTTTTATAAAAATTAATTTTAAAGAAATTTGTTATGAAACTTTAATTTTAAGAAGACAAAATAAAATACAATTTGAGGAAACTTTTATAAAAATAAATGTTAAGAGTATTTTGTATGAAAATTTAAGCAAGTAAATTTCAATGATATTTTTAAAATTAAACTTCTATGAATATTTTTATAAAAATTAAATTACAAGGAAATTTAGAAATTAAACTTCTAGATTTATTTTTTTATAAAAAAAAATGAAGGATATTTAATTTTTTTTTTCATACAATTTTTCAAACAATTTTAGTGTTTTATAAAAATTAAATTAAAAATAAATTAAAAAATTAAAATCGAATCGATCCACCATTTTATATCGGTATTTTTATTGTAATGAGAATTATGATGCAACAGTTACTTTGCTATATTTCTGAATAAGAAGTACCGATATTTTACTAATCTCTAGCCGCATGACTAATTAGTTAAGCATGATCACCTCAGCAGGCATATATTCCACCATCACGATGAGGTCTTCACAAGTCACATCAATGCGTATAGTTTTCAAAATATTTACTTTTTTGGCTAACAACGAAGAAACAAAAACTGTTTCAACAATTTCTGCTTTTAATTAAACTGTCAATCTTCATCAGAGTATTGTAAAGTTTTTTTTCTGAGATCTCAAAAAATCAAAAAAATTATAAAAAACGAGCAAACGAACGGCAAAAAATATCGGTCAATCACAAGAAAAAAATAAATACCATGAAATATGAAAATTTAACTGAAATATACCGGCTTATCATGACGTTTATAATCTGTTGGCTAAATTAGAGGAGGACAAGAGAGAAAAAATCATGATTTTTTATTAAAGATATAAATAAATCACATTAATCTCAAAACAAGAAACCTGATCACTTACAAGTGTTAAATACAGGGAGGGGTTGGTGAGAGGTAGGGAGGGGGACAGGTGACAAGGCCTGAATGCAGTTTATATTTGATTGTAATCACAAATCATTCATAATTACAGCGAAATAAATATTTACGAAATTTGTTTCGACATAAATTCCTTTAAGTGTGATTTTAAACAAAATGATTTTTAATTGTCGCGTTAGGCACCCAGGCTGTGTGTGGTGGGATGTGTGAAGAGGGGAGCTAGATCTTGATGAAGATGTGATTTTTTTTTTTGATTTCCAAAGAAACTGGCTTCATCTCCTCCTCTTAATAACTTAATCTTGTCGAAGATTTTCCCGTTCGCTTAGAGATTTTCATGATTTTTTTCAGTTTTTTTGCAAAACGGAAACCATTAATTTTGCTCGTTGACTTTAGATGTCATTACAAGCGGAGCTCCCAGTTTGCTGTTTGGTCGGGTTGTGGTTGTTGTTGGAGAAAATTAATGCAAATTATAGCGTCTGAAATTGCTGCGAAGACAAATGTTCAGATATTCAAATTGTCAGCAAATGGATGTGTGAAATTTATCGTTTCTATTTGCCTTGACTTGTTTCGGTTTTTTCTACTTCTCACCACTTTTTTAAATCACATTCCTCGTTTTATTGAATTGTCAAGTATTTCGTTGGATATTAAGTTGGTAATGGCAGGCATTTGACATAGAATTGTTTGGAAAATTGCAAGAAAAGCTAACTGGTCTAGGGGGGAGGGGAGAATATTTTTTTATGGAGTTACTCACTAAGTGATTTGGGGGAAGGGGACAATTTTGTTTATGGTGTTGCTTAAATGGGGGTTTCTAAATCAGTAACCACTTCAAAAATTTTTTAAATTTTTTCTCATAATCTGTAAAATAAAATCTGCACATAGTTTCCAAACTCCATATAATAGCTCTCTTGGCGTAATCTTAATCGCAGCAATTTCTGCGTTTAATCAACAAACTATCATCTTTACAAAAAAAGTGACAAGTATTTCAATTTATGTTGGCTTGATTTGTTTTAATTTTTATGATATCCTTTCATTAATCTTAATTTTCAGTCCAATCAAATCAATGATTTTATTTTTCGATGTTGTATAGGAAACGGTTTTTAATTTAAAAACAAATAAATCGGTGAGTGGAGAAATGGAATAAATTGTAAAATTTAAAAAAAAGTTGACTGAATTAAATTTTCTATACAATATTGAAATTTTTATAAAAACAAAATGTCAATGAATATCCTTTTAACCTTAGCTGGCTTGTGACAGAACTTTCGTTCCATAAGCCGAGTTTAAAAAAGATTTCAAGGCGCGTCGGTCTTTTGTGCAGTTTTTCCAGTTTGAAAGATCATATTTGGCAATGTTGTCCTCCACTTGATCTTTCCATCCTATTCGTGGCCTTCCCCTTCTGCGTGAACCATCAGCCGGTTCGCTTTTATATGCCTTATGGACTGGGGCGTCATCTTCCATTCTCACAACATGCAGCTCAATACCTCTAACAATGTCGATGTCCGAGAATAGCTTCATGGTTCATTCGACGGCGATATTCACTGTCAACGCAGATCGGCCCATAGATCTTTCGGAGAATTTTTCTCTCAAACACTGCAAGAGCTGCGTCATCTGCTGGCGTAAGTACCCATGCTTCAGATCCATATAATAGCACGGGTAGTATCAGCGTCTTGTAGAGTGTGAGTTTGGTCTGGCGTGAGGTGACCTTGCTTATGAGTTGCTTACTCAGACCATAGTAGCATCTGTTGTCCAACACCATCCTTCTCCAAATTTCAAAACTGATGTCATTTGTTTTATTTATGGCGGTACCAAGGTATATAAAGCCTTTAACTACCTCGAAGCTGTAGTTCTCAAGTTCCACAGTTGGTCCGAGTCTACTGGACTTTCTTGCGCGTTGATACCATCAGCTTGGTCTTCTCGCCGTTTACTGCCAGATCCACTTTGGCAGACTCCTTCTCAATTAGTTCAAAGGTAGCTGTTACCGCTCACAATGTTTGACCCATTATATCGATGTCAACGGCGTAAGCAAGTTACATGTGTTGTTTGGTGTACAGGGCGCCATTTCTGTTCACTTTTGCCTCTCGTATGATTTTTTCCAGCGGGATGTTAAAAAGGTCACTCGACAAACTATCACCTTGTCTGAAACCTCGTTCGGTATTAAAGGGCTCCGATAGGTCCTTTCCGACTTTAACTGCTGATCTTGTGCCAGTTAAAGTTATCCTGCATATCCGAATTAATTTTGCAAGAATGCCAAACGCAGACATGGCTTTATACACCTCTGAATGGATAGGGCTGTCAAATGCGGCTTTAAAGTCGACGAATAGGTTGAATGTGTCGATGTGTTTTTCGTGGGTCTTTTCCATGATTTGGCGCAGAGTGAAAATCTGGTCAATGGTGGATTTGCCAGGTCTAAAGCCGCATTAGTATGGTCCAATAATGTCATTGACCATTGGTTTCAGTCGTTCACACAGTACTCTGGATAGCACTTTATATGCGATGGGAAGGAGACTTATTTCTCTATAGTTGGCATATATCGTCTTGTCTCATTTTTTGTGCACGGGACACAGGAGGCTGAGGTTCTAATCAGTGGGCATGCATTCTTCTAACCAAATTGTAATAATCAGCTGGTGCATGACCTGCTGCTTTATTATTCGAAATTATATCAATATAAATCGTTATAAAAATGAAATTTTCTATCAAATTAATATTTCGAAATTAAATTTCGTAAAAATTTATTACAGAAATTAAACTTCGACGAAATGTAAATTTCGACGAAATTTACTATAGAAACTAAATTTCGACGAAATTTCCTATAGAAATGAAATTTCGACGAAATTTCCTATAGAAATGAAATTTCGACGAAATTTCCTATAGAAATGAAATTTCGACGAAATTTCCTATAGAAATGAAATTTCGACGAAATTTCCTATAGAAATGAAATTTCGACGAAATTTCCTATAGAAATGAAATTTCGACGAAATTTCCTATAGAAATGAAATTTCGACGAAATTTCCTATAGAAATGAAATTTCGACGAAATTTCCTATAGAAATTTTCGACGAAATTTCCTATAGAAATGAAATTTCGATTTCCTATAGAAATGAAATTTCGACGAAATTTCCTATAGAAATGAAATTTCGACGAAATTTCCTATAGAAATGAAATGAAATTTCGACGAAATTTCCTATAGAAATGAAATTTCGACGAAATTTCCTATAGAAATTAAATTTCGACGAAATTTACTATAGAAATAAAATTTCGTCGAAATTTACTATAGAAATAAAATTTCGTCGAAATTTACTATAGAAATGAAATTTCGTCTAAATTTACTATAGAAATGAAATTTCGACAAAATTTGCTATAGAAATGAAATTTCGACGAAATTTCCTATAGAAATTAAATTTTGACGAAATTTCCTATAGAAAATAAATTTCGTCGAAATTTACTATAGAAAATAAATTTCGTCGAAATTTACTATAGAAACTAAATTTCGTCGAAATTTACTATAGAAACTAAATTTCGTCGAAATTTACTATAGAAACGAAATCTCGTCGAAATTTACTATAAAAACTAAATTTCGTCGAAATTTACTATAGAAATTAAATATCGTTGAAATTTACTATACTATTTACTATAGAAATTTGAGTTCGACGAAATTTACTCTAAAAATTAAATTTCGACGAAATTCAATATTTTTGACTTAGTCTCTTTTTACGACTCACCCTGGCAAATATTCCATTAAAATAACCTATTAACTTAAGATAATAATAAAAAATAACAGTAAATTGTTACATGGCGCTTAGAAAATAACAGATTTCTGATATGAGAAGCAGCAGCAACAGGCCCGGGTAAGGCACAGAAACTTTGTTTTTTTTTATTTTTTGGTGGAACCACAAAATGCCATGTGAAAAATGTTAAGACTTCCCGAAAAGGCTTAAAAGACAAAGTCTACCACAACTATGTAAAGGTGGTGTTTTAGTTGGGGGAGAGGGAGTTTCAGGAAGGAGATTAATTTTATTCAACGATGCCAGTTGAATAAATAACGAAACAAATAAATGGTGGTGGTTTCTGGTTGGTGTTTTGGCCTGCTGATGATCATCTTGGCCCGGTTCTCTTGAAAGCTACTTGCACGCGAATAACTACAAAGTTGGGATAATTAAAATTGTCTTCTTTCACTAAACTTTCTTAAATGCTTTTAATTTAACAAAAAACTAATTGTAAAGACTTGGCAAGAGAGTGAATTGAAAAAAAGCAACAAATATAGGTTACAGCAAAGCCTCTGAACAAGATTTGGTTGGTGGCTGGCTGGCTAGAAGGCTAAATGAATTCTGCAACAGCATTCTCAAGCTGATGTTGTTTTTGTTGCTCATGGCCAAGAGACAAGGAAGAAATCCATTAAGCCTCTAATCTAAAGATCAAATGAAGAGAAAAAACTCAACAGCAGCAGTTGGCACAGTAATACCAATCACAACTGCAGCAGCACGGGCAGCATCTCCAGCCTCAGCCTTCGTAAAACCATAATTGCTTATTTACTTTAAAAACCATAAATGTTGGAACACAGACTTGCATGCGATTTGGCTGTTGTTGTTGCTGCTGTATAAGCCTGGCTTACAGTTTTTTGGTTTTTATGAATGAAAATCTTTAGTGGTTGTCTATGTGGTTGTAGTTGTCGTTTTTTGCGGTAAATGTAGGCGTTATTTTACGCCAACTTAAAACTGTTGCCGTTTTAATTTTTTTTGCTCAACGACCGAACAACCGACCCACAACCACTGTGTAAATCGTGTTGTGTACATTTCGTTTTTATTTAAATTTGATATTTTTTATTTACATTTCATAGTTAGTTTTTCCGATTTTTATTTTAGTTTCCGTTGTGGTAAAGTTTTTTTTTAATTTTTTTTTTGCCAAGTCAATACCCATCGTCATCAAGCGATTCGTATAAGTTATTAAATTGTGGTCGGAGTGTGTGGCCAAAACAACAGCTACAACCTCTAGGCAAAAGTGTCTAATTTTTGAGTGTGATGAACTGAGCGTGAGTGTGTATGTGTGTGCGGTTGGTGGAGTTTTTCCTGTGGTTAGTGGTATGTGTGGTAAAAGTACCAACGGCCTGATTTTTTAAAGCTTGTTAGGAAAATGAAATAAATTTAAATTTTATCTAAATTAATTTTTTCGACGAAATTTACTATAGAAACTAAATTTCGACGAAATTTCCTATAGAAATTAAATTTCGACGAAATTTCCTATAGAAATTAAATTTCGACGAAATTTACTATAGAAATTAAATTTCGACGAAATTTACTATAGAAATGAAATTTCGACGAAATTTACTATAGAAATGAAATTTCGACGAAATTTGCTATAGAAATGAAATTTCGACGAAATTTGCTATAGAAATGAACTTTCGACGAAATTTGCTATAGAAATGAACTTTCGACGAAATTTACTATAGAAATGAAATTTCGACGAAATTTACTATAGAAATGAAATTTCGACGAAATTTACTATAGAAATGAAATTTCGACGAAATTTACTATAGAAATGAAATTTCGACGAAATTTACTATAGAAATGAAATTTCGACGAAATTTTCTGTAGAAATGAACTTGGTTTTGAAAAATTTGCCAAATTTATTTTTGTTTTGAAAATTTACTAAAAATATTTCGTTTACATAAACAAAGGTTTGGAAATTTACTATAGTTTCGACAAATTTACTCGAAATTTTCGTTTACTATAGTCTTTCGACGAAATTTACTATAGAATTTTCGACGAAATTTACTATAGAAATGAAATTTCGACGAAATTTACTATAGAAATTAAATTTCGACGAAATTTACTATAGAAATGAAATTTCGACGAAATTTACTATAGAAACTCAAAATTTACCATAGAAATAAAATTTCGTCGAAATTTACCATAGAAATAAAATTTCAACGAAATTTACTATAGAAATGAAATTTCGACGAAATTTACTATAGAAATTCAATTTTGAAGAAATTTACTACTAGAAATTAAATTTCGACGAAATTTACTATAGAAATTAAATTTCGACGAAATTTACTATAGAAATGGAAATTCGAAATTTACTATAGAAATGAAATGAAGGAGCTATTATATAAAATACTTTTCTTACATTTTTATCCTTACTGTACCTCCACTTCGTCTGCATCTCACTTTCCTAGTTCCAAAATCGTTGAATGAATTTCAAATGAATGATTTAATGGCCAGTTTGACCACGAGACTTAAATTACAACCGAACAAAAAAATGTTTTGCATGTTTGCGCCCACACTATTATGGTCAGGCAATTTGTGGACCCTGTTTGGCACAAACTAAAAACCATAAAAACAGGCTATGTTTTTGTGTGTTTTGGACAAGGAGTTAGATTTTGGCGAGTCATAATGGCGTCGTCATCTCAAACTGGCGACTGGTGATGTGGAACTTTTCTCTGAATGATAAGACGTGAAAAAAACATTTTCATTCATAATTTCAAAAAAATGCAACGAAAATTTGCAGACTCCTTTTGCGGGGAAGAGAAGAGTACAGCCTGAGTTATGCCTTTAGTCCGTCTTCATTGAGTTTCTCGTGACGGTGGTACCTGTTGCCTGTTTTTTTTTAGTCTTCTTGTTTTGGTTCATGTCTGTTGGTTGCACACGAAAAAACAAAAAATTGTTGTCATATGCAAATTAATTTAAGTTGATCACCACAAATTTATATTTACTGCCACAGAGACTCTTGTGCCAATTTTCCTTTTAAATTTTTTTTTCGCTGTGCGCTGCAACCAAAAACCGTTTTGTCACTTTTTTTGTTAGCTCCGCTCGTTTTAATGCCACGAACCGTGTACTGGTAACTTAAATCATGCGAGATACCCTCTATACCAACTATGTAGTGTATCTGTTCCGAGGATATATTGTCTGTCGGTCGGCTGGTCGTTAGTTCGTCTGTCTCCTTTGACTTTATAAAGTCAAAAACGTGATTTGTTTTTAACACACAAAACATCTCATGATGTTGTTGCTTTTTTAACAGAAAAACTGGAGCCGCAGAACGTGTAAATATTCTGAGAAGAAATATCAAATTTCAAACACAACAACTACTTTCGCTTTTTTCAGGAGGAGGATATTGGAGCAAAAACTAAATAAAACATTAGGATGAAATATTGTTAGAGAGGAAGATCGGATTTTTAAAAAAATATAGGCTTGGATTTTTTAATGTAGGACCTGAAAAATATGTTTATATTTTTCAGGTCCTATATTAAAGCGCGGATTTTTTAAACATTTTTTTCAGGGCCTACATTAAGGCGTGGGTTCTTTAAAAATATTTTTTCAGGGCCTTCATTAAGGCGTGGATTTTTAAACATATTTTTCAGGGCCTACAGGTCTATTCCTAGGCGTGGATTTTTAAACATATTTTTCAGGGCCTACAGGTCTATTCCTAGGCGTGGATTTTTAAACATATTTTTCAGGGCCTACAGGTCTATTCCTAGGCGTGGATTTTTAAACATATTTTTCAGGGCCTACAGGTCTATTCCTAGGCGTGGATTTTTAAACATATTTTACAGGTCTATTCCTAGGCGTGGATTTTTTAAAAATATTTTTCAGGGTCTACAGGTCTATTCCTAGGCGTGGATTTTTAAACATATTTTTCAGGTCTAGTCCTAGGCGTGGATTTTTTAAAAATATTTTTCAGGGCCTACAGGTCTATTCCTAGGCGTGGATTTTTTTTAAAATATTTTTTCAGGTGTTGATTTTTTAAAAATATTTTTTCAGGTCTATTCCTAGGCGTGGATTTTTTTAAAAATATTTTTTCAGGTGTGGATTTTTTAAAAATATTTTTTCAGGTCTATTCCTAGGCGTGGATTTTTTAAAAATATTTTTGCAGGTCTTTCCCTAGGCGTGGATTTTTTTAAAATATTTTTTGCAGGTCTATCCCTAGGCGTGGATTTTTTAAAATTGTTTTTAAAATCTATTCCTAGGCAGGATTTTTTTTAAAATATTTTTTTAAGTCTATCATTAGGAGTGGACTTGTCAAACACAATTTTTTTTAAGTATATCCCTAGGCGTGGACTTGTCACACCCTATTTTTTGAAGTATATCCCTAGGCGTGGACTTCTTAAATATATTTTTAAAGCCTATCCCTAGGCGTGGACTTCTTAAATATATTTTTTAAAGCCTATCCCTAGGCGTGGACTTCATAAAGTCAATTTTTTAAAATCTATCCCTAGACGAGGACTTCATAAAGTCTATCCATAGGCGTGGACTTCATAAAGTCTATCCCTAGGTGTGGACTTGTCGAACCCAATTTTTTAAAGTCTATCCCTAGGCGTGGACTTCATAAAGTAAATTTTTTAAAGTCTATCCCTAGGCGTGGACTTCAAAAAGTAAATTTTTTAAAGTCTAACCCTAGGCGTGACTTCATAAAGTCAATTTTTTAAAGTCTATCCCTAGGCGTGGACTTCATAAAGTAAATTTGTTTAAGTCTATCTCCATCTGGACTTTTCAATAATATTTTGTAAAGTCTATCCTTAGGCGTGGACTTCTTAAAAATAATTTTTCGTGTTGTATCCACAAGGGTGGATTATTAAAAGAAGAAAACAAATATCTCTGGTGCCTGATGAAGACTTTCTATCGAATTCCTCTGGTCATTAGAAATTTTGTGTATAGAAAAAAATCCTTGGAACCTCAGGAGGAAGACATTTTATATAAAAAATTCTAATGTCGCTGAAGAAGAATTGTTTCTATAGCAGAAATTCTTCAAGTCTCTGAAAAATATTTTTATGTAGAAGAAAAATCAGCAAGACCCCGAGTAAGATTTTTTTCTATAAAAATAATCATTAGGTGCCCGAGGAAGAATTTTTTCACAGAAAAATGCCTCAGGTCCCTGTATGCTTAGATCCATGAAAACAACTTTCTAAAGAAATTTGATTTAAAAATAATGATGATTTTTTGGGATCAATCCCTTGGTCTTCATGTTTATATTTCCTAACTAATTTGTATCCCTTTTCCTCTCATTCCAGAATGTCAATGCAGTCCTGTCGGCTCAATCGGCAATACGTGCGACAAACGCTCCGGCCAGTGTATGTGCCTTCCCAACGTAACCGGACGCCGTTGTGACAAATGTAAGGCGGGCCATTGGAATTTAACACAAAATGTCGGCTGTCATGATTGTCGCTGCGACCTGTCAGGCTCCCGCAGTCATGAATGTAATCCTTGGACGGGTCAATGTGATTGTAAAATTGGTGTTGGTGGTCAGCGGTGTAATGAGTGTACCGACGGATTCTTTGGCTTCTCCACGGATGGTTGTCAACGTTGTGCCCCCTGTCCGGGAGAGGGTCAAATGTGCGACCCTATTAATGGTCGATGTGTCTGCCCACCATTTAGCCGAGGTTTGGGATGCAGTCAATGTGTTACCGGTACCTGGGGATGGCAACCACGATTGGGTTGTCGTGAATGCGAATGTGATCGTGTGGGTTCGATTGGCCAGTATTGCCATACCATAACAGGTCAGTGTCAATGTCGTGAAGGTTATACGGGCAGACGTTGTGATTCCTGTGCAGTGGGATATTTTGGTTATCCGGAATGTCGACGTTGTAACTGCGATGTGGATGGTTCATTTGTTCGAAGTGATGGTTTGATAGCCTGTGATGCAAATGGCCAGTGTCCATGTAAAAGTTTGGTGGTTGGCCTCAAGTGTGATACCTGTATGCAGTCGACGTTTGGTCTATCCGCCCTAAATCCGGAGGGATGTACACGATGTTATTGTTTCGGAAGGGCAACGGAATGTGAGCAGAGTGATTGGTCATGGGGTCATGTACGCATGTCGGAGTCACGTAATTTAACCGTGAACTATATCCGCCCTTCACATGTAACAAATCGTGAATTTGAATATACCGTGGTGGTACAAATGTCCGACACAAAGTCATATCGTGAAGATGCTGAAATACAAAATATGTACGGATTGAATTTAATACCTCGATCAACAGGAAATGTTACAATCGGATCGTATACTCATCTCTATTATCCGCTGTATTTCCAATTGCCACCTCAATTTTATGGAGATCGGATTAATAGTTATAATGGTAATCTTTATTTCACCCTACTCACTGAGGGTGGCTCGACGCCTTTGGATCGTAAAACTTTGTCGCGTTATCCTTTGGTGCAGCTACATGCCCATTCCCGAATGGTTTTGGATTTTTATGAATATGAAACATTTGAATATTCACGTAATGAAACCTATCGAGTACCTCTACATGAATCCTATTGGAAGCAGCACAAAAGTGGCCAGGCCGTGGATCGGAGTACCATGATGGCGGCATTGCAAAATGTGCGACATATTTTCATACGCGGTTCATGTTTTGCAGATTTTACCGAAGTCATGTAAGTGATAGATTATAAGTTTTGAGAATTTTTAATATAAGATAACGTGGTCCAAACTTCTAGTCTGCAAAATGTCCACATGGATTCGGCAATTTATGTCCATGGCTCCACGAGTATGATTGCCAAGGGTGTGGAGAAGTGTAAATGTCCCAAACGCTATGATGGTTTGTCGTGCCAAGATCCGGGCCATGGTTATTATCGTTGGCGTAACATAACCGAAACTGAAACGATTTATATTGAGGAGCTGATTGGACGTGCTGCTCCCTGTAATTGTAATGGACGCAGCAATGAATGTGATCGGGAAACTGGGGAATGCTTGGTAGGTTAAGTTCTGGAGAACCCATAACGCTATGGCTCAAAATTGAGCTATTGTTCTGGGAGGTGGAAAATTCTTTTGGGGATGAAAGACCTTGGCGAGTAATTCAGAACCTCAAGAACTTCGGAACCTGTAGAAAAATTTAATATTTATTATGTAGGCTCCTGAGGAAACTCCAGGACCAGAGAATTTTTTTCTACAGAAGAAGTCATTCTCAGGCACCTGAGGTCCCCTGAGGATAACTTTTTTATAGAAAAAATTCCTCAGGTCCCCTGAGGATGCTTTTTCTATAGAAAAAAAAAATCATCAGGTCCCCTGAGGATGACTTTTTTCTATAGGAAAGAATTCCTCAGGTCCCCTGAGGATTATTTTTTTCTATGGGAAAAAATTCCTCAGGTCCCCTGAGGATGACATTTTTCCATGGAAAAAAATTCCTCAGGTCCCCTGAGGATGACTTTTTTTCTATGGAAAAAAAATTCCTCAGGTCCCCTGAGGATGACTTTTTTTCTATGGAAAAAAAATTGCTCAGGTCCCCTGAGGATGACTTTTTTCTATAGAAAAAAATTTTTCAGGTCCCCCGAGGATGAATTTTTTTTTCTATAGAAAAAAATCCTTTCTTCCTTTCTATAGAAAAAAATTCCTCAGGTACCCTGAGGATGACGTTTTTCTAAAGAAAAATAATTCCTCACTTTTTTCTATAGAAAAAAATTCAAAAAAAAAAAAATGTCGCTGATGAAGACTATTTTCTATAGAAAAAATTATTCAGGCCACTAGGGAAGGCTTTTTCTATAAAAGAAAAAATCATCAGGTCCCTTAGGAAGGCATTCTCCATAGAAAAAAACATCAGGTCCTCAGGAAAGCTTTTTCCATAGAAAAAAATCCTCAGATGCCTGTGGTAGACCTTTTGTTTTCAGTTCTGCTCACCTAGGCCATTTAACCCCAAAAGGAATTTTTCACCTCATCGATGGTACCAAGCGTAGAAGAAATTTAATTTTGATTCCGATTTTTTTAGAATTGTCGTGAAAATTCCGGTGGGAAGCATTGTGAACAATGTGCCGAGGGCTTTTATGGTGATCCCAATTCCGCATATGGCTGCCAGCCATGTCCTTGCCCTGAAACAAGTCGCAATTTTGCCAAAGGTTGCTCTGTGTGGCAGGGTGAGGTGACTTGTGTTTGCCGCCCCGGCTATATGGGCAAATTGTGTAATCAATGCCGGCCAGGATATTATGGTAATCCTTCGACTACTCCTGGTGGTATCTGTAAGCCATGTAAATGTAATCCATATGGTATACGCCAAGAGGGTTGTGATTCGTTAACGGGTCAGTGTTATTGTCAGGCTGGGGTCACAGGCCTCAAATGTGATAAATGTTTGGCCGAACGTCATCATTTGGAGGAGAAGGGATGTCGATGTAAGTTTCTTATTGGATTTTTTTATTTTTAATGGAGGAATCTAATTGGAATTTTTATGTTTAGTGTGTGACAATTGCACTTTACTGTTGTTGGACTATGTGGAATTGATTGGTCATAAATTGAGAAGAGGTATACACAATATGGATTTGACCGGCATACCCCCACCCTTTGTCAAGGTTGAGGAATATGAGAGGCAATTTGAGTTACAAAATAGGCATTACAATGATTTCAATGAGGCCCGGAAGTTACTGGTGAATTATGACAGCAATGCCCTACTGAAATTGGATTCCCATGCTGAAAATCAAAAGTTTCAAAATCGCAAAGCCTTGGCCACCGCTGAGAAGAGGACCTTTGCCATGGCTGTGTTGCTGCAGGATGCTTCTCAACTTTATTTAGATTTGGATTCTATAAAATCGGGGATATTGGAAAATATTGCCACGCTGGATAATTATGGCAGGGGTGCTCATCATTTGAGTTTACCCTCTGCCCTGCAAGAGGCCAGATATTATTTGGATTCGATTACCCAACATCGTGATTCGGTAAATGAGATACGTTCCGCTGCCACATGTGCCTGGCACTACTTTTATAAATTTGGTAATGCCTCCGATATGGCCTATGATCAAAAGGGTAAAATTGAAATGTTTTGGCGGGATTTAAATCATTCGAATTATCGTATATCCGATATGAGGCTGCATGTTGATCGCACCGTTGAAATGCAAAATGAAATTGAAGATATTTTGGAGCATATCAAGAATTTGAAGAGTTACACACTGGAGGATTATCAACAGATAAGGGATCAAAAGAGATTGGTAGAAGATACCTTGAGAGAGGTTTTGATACCTCAAACCGATGTTCTGGTGGAATTGAATATTGAAAAGTTGGAGGATTTGAGTGGTAAATTGGATTCGATTACAAAGTTGTCGACAATTTTGAATGCCACCTTGGATAATAATGAGGCCGTACATCGTGAGGTAAGGAAACATTGGCTGCCAAAGGCCCAGAAACATGCTGCGAGGTTATTGGAGAGATCAAATGAATATGCCAGGCAATTTCAGCCAACTAGGCAGGGGGCAAGGATTGCAATGTTGGCAAGGTAGGTCATAGAAAAAGAGAACGCAATTGATACAGGATATAGTAATAAAATTCGTCCTTTTTAAAAAAAATTTTAGTTCGGCCCACAAAAACATCTCGGATGCCATTGAGGCCGCCCACTTGGCCTCCAGAGAGGCTCGAGAACGTGTATATGCCGCCCATCACAAGTTGTATCCTCGCATGGGTCTCTCGGTAATTGATAGGGCTCGTTTGTCGCTACACAATTCGAATCTTTTGAAGAAACAGGCCATGAATAAAATTCAGGATACTGATGGTAAGTTCCGAGGCATAGGGAAATTTTTTCAGAAATTCTGAAAAAATAACTAATTTCTTTTATGAGAATATTTTTTCAAACACCTTGAATTTTCCTATATATTTAAGTCCGAAAAAATCAGAAAATCTTAAAAAAATCGAAAGTAATCAAAACCTTCTTCCTTTTCAAGAACCTTGAATTTTCCTACATATTTAAGTCCGAAAAAAATCAGAAAATCTAAAATAATATAAACCTTCTTCCTATTTAAAAACTTTGGAAACCTTGAATTTTCCTATGCATTTAAATCAGAAAAAAATCAGAAAATCTGCCAAAAATCGAAAATAATCTAATTCTTCTTCCCCCTCTCCCAAAAAAAATCCGCAGTTCTAGAGAAGCGATTAAAATACCATGAAAATAAAGTGGAGTCCATAAAATCACGCATCTTGGAGGCTGGCATAAAAACCAACAACATCTCTACCATTATACCACCCATGCAGCATACCATGGCCCGGAAAAATGCCATTGAAAGTATGGATATGGCCTCGAAGACCAGTGAAGAAATGAAATTCTTGACCCAAAGGACACAAGAAATGCATGGAGACATACAAAAATTACGACATAAATTTGCCATTCTCGAACCAGATTGGGAAATAAAATTAGGTATGGCAGAGGAAAATATCTCCTTGACCAAAACAAATGTTCGATTAGCCAATATTTCGCTGACCTATGTTGAGGAGCAAGCGGTAAAGGAACAAACGGAATTTGATATTTGGAATAGCTCTATGGCGCGACAAATTCAAGAGCTGCGGGATCAAATTACCAAGGCCAAACATGCAGCAGAGGGTATTAGGATTTCCCTCCAATCGGTGGGACCGAAATGTCTGCGTTCCTATTTACCCGCTTCTTATGGTCTAACTACCTCGAATACCATTAAAATAAGTTTCGCCTTGGCCAATCGCAATGGTAATTCGCCGCTACTCTACATGCAAGGTTCCGATGATCGTTATATTGCCTTGGATTTGTTTAAGAGGCATGTACGCCTGCTATGGAATTTGGGTGGTACCACGGAAATTATTACCCACCCATTGGAAATACAAACTCGAGATCCCCAATACGATGATGCCTGGTATCATGTGGAGGTTAATCGCACCTTAAACATTGGTAGTTTGCTGGTAAGGCGTATGAACAATTATGGATCATTGGTACCTCAGACTCCCGTCACCGGCAGTACAGATGTGGAATTTACTCGCTTCTTCCAAACTGCTGAAGATCGCATCTATTTGGGTGGTTATCCCAAGGTTTTGAGGACCAAAGATTTACAGCTGAGTCCTGGGCTAAATGTGGTGGTACACAATGTGGAGGTGGAAAAAAGGCCTTTGGGTCTGTGGAATTTCGCCTCGAGTGAAGGTAAATGTGGTGGTGCCATGATAGGGGCCCAAGAATCCAGTTCATCATCAGTGGCCAGACACTTTAATGGTTTGGGCTATGCGGAAGTGAAGAAATCACGACCAAGGCCATATCGCAAGAATTTGTTTGCCCTACAAATGACCTTTAAGACTTTGGATGAGAATGCTTTGCTTTTCCTGGCGGTGGATGATAAGAATGTAAGTAAAGTATAAGACCTTAAACAGATTTTAAAATAGAGCAAAAAATGAGTCGTTTGTTTTGAAAGTGACTTAAGTCCAGTTTAGGTTCTGATACAAATCTTGGTTTTCTACATATTCTATCATGTTTAAGGAAACACAAAGCCAAAAAACAAAATTAATTTAATTTTAAAAACATTTTTGAAACAATTTTTGAAATAATTCCTCTTCCAAATACTCTCTCTTTAAAAAATATGTTTTCTTTTATGAAATAGCATGTATGAACCCTGTTCTTTTAAATTTTAACCAATAACCCCTTCCCTCTTTTATCTCTCTCCCTCCTTTCCTTAGAACCGCTCGGTATCAGTTACCCTGAGTCGTGGTCGCATTATGTTCCGCATTGACTATGGTGATGAATCGAAATTGGAAATTAACACAACGAATAAATATAACACTGGCAAGTGGGTTAAAATAGAGGCGGCACGTGAATTTGTACCAAAACGTGGTACAGAAAATGGCATACTGCGTGTTAATACCGATCGTCCAATAACTGGTTCCCCAACGGTACCAATTAAGAGTAATATGCTGCCAGATCTATCGAAGGCCGTATATTATTTGGGTGGTGTACCACCTGGCTTCACCTCGGCCACATCGAAAGCACCGGGCGCAGATAACCCGTTCTTGGGCTGTATGATGGACGTTCAGGTTAATGGAGAAACTTATGATCCGCTGGAGGGTACAGCGCATTATGGTGTCGAATCGTCGTGCAAGGAAATGATAACAAAGTAAGTACACGATTTTTTCAAGGCGTGGATTTTTTAAAAATTATGTTTTCAAGGCGTGGATTTTTAAAAAAATATTTTTTCAAGGAGTGGATTTATAAAAAATAATTTTTTTAAGGCGTGTATTTTCAAAAAATAATTTTTTCAAGGCGTGGATTTTTAAAAAAATATTTTTAAAGGTGTGGATTTTCAAAAAATAATTTTTTCAAGTCGTGGATTTTCAAAAAATAATTTTTTTCAAGACGTGGATTTTCAAAAAATAATTTTTTCAAGGCGTGGATTTTTAAAAAATATTTTTTTTTTAAGGCGGGGTTTTTCAAAAAATAATTTTTTTAAGGCGTGGATTTTTAAAAAATAATTTTTTCAAGGCGTGGATTTTCAAAAATAATTTTTTAAGGCGTGGAAAAAATAATTTTTTCAAGGCATGGATTTTCAAAAAATAATTTTTTAAGGCGTGGAAAAATAATTTTTTCAAGGCGTGGATTTTCAAAAAATAATTTTTTAAGGCGTGGAAAAAATAATTTTTTAAGACGTGGAAAAAATTATTTTTTAAGGCGTGGAAAAAATAATTTTTTAAGACGTGGAAAAAATAATTTTTTCAAGGCGTGCATTTTCAAAAAATAATTTTTTAAGGCGTGGATTTTCAAAAAAAAATTTTTTTTCAAGTAGTGGATTTTCAAAAAATAATTTTTTCAGGAAGTGAATTTTCAGAAAATAATTTTTTAAAGGCGTGGATTTTTAAAAAATATTTTTTTAAGGCGTGGATTTTTAAAAACTATTTTTTTTCAAGGCGTGGATTTAAAAAAATAATTTTCACAAGGCGTGGATTTTTAAAAACTATTTTTTTTTTCAAGGCGTGGATTTAAAAAAATAATTTTCCCAAGGCGTGGATTTATTCAATATTTTTTTTTAAATTCCATGTTTTTCCTCTAATGATAATTTTACTTATTTCAATGTTTCCCTCTCTTCTTCTCCTCTCCCAGGGCCGGTTTCAGAGGTCAAGGCTATATTGAACTGCCAGCCCAATCATTACGCAAGCGGGCCAATGCTGGCTTTGTTTTCCGCACTTTGCAAAACGATTGTCTACTGATGCTCTCTGCCTATCCACCTGAAGTGGAGGAGGACTACGATGCCAAAGATATTAAAGGCAATTATTCTATATCTCTTGTGGATGGCCATCTACAAGTATGGGTGAATTCCGGACGTAGTTTGGTGAAATTAAAATCAAATGTCTCCCTTAATGATGGTGAATTCCATGTGGTAAATTTGCTGAAGAATGGTCGTAAACTTGAGCTAATGGTCGATGATGAATTGCAAGAAAGTAAAAATTTAATGGGTACACCTACGCTGGTTAGCATGCCACGGGATGCTGGTGGTCTATATATTGGTGGTGCACCGCCATATGATGAATATACCCCGCTGGCGCCTACATTTAATAAATTGGAGGGAGCCATACGTGATGTTGTCTTCAATAATCGTACGGTAAACTTTAATCAAGCTTTGTCATTTGTCAATGTACAAATTGGACGCAATGGTCCGGCCATGGGTAGTGTCAATGGTCTGAGCGATATTCTGATGAAAACTGAACCGATGATTGGTAAAAGTTTTACGGCAGCTCCCGAAGGATGTAAGAGGGTAAGTGAGTCATATAATTTGTTTTAAGATTAAAGGGGATGGGACTTTAATATTATGTGAAAAAACTGAAAGCTTTGAAAAAGAGCTTTTATTTTTTATTTTTGCATGTATATATTTATTTGACTAAGTTTTAATTTCTTTTTTATAGGATTTTAGTTGTTAAGTCAATAACCCTTAAAAATTAGAAAAAACTCAACCACACTCGCATACATGTGCACAAAAAAACGGTGTCCTAGCGCTCGAATATGAAAAGCTCTAAGCTTTAAGCTAATCAACCATAAAACGAAATCATAAATAACCCTCGCAAACGAATTACGAAAAGGGTCATCACATTCAGGACTAAAACCAAATAATAATCATTTAAATGTAATACTAATAATTAAGCTCTCTAAAAATTAATTAATTTAATTAAGAACAAATTTACATAACTACATGTGTTTGGCAATAATAATTATTTACTCATAAGACTTGATAGCTTTTAAATTTTTTTGCACCTCACATAAAATGGGTATAATTTTGGTATTGGTAAATAACAAAAAACAAAAGAAATCGAAATTGTTATCAAAAAATAATCACTCATTATAAATTGTACATACTTAATTTTAATTTGAAATATTTTTAAGATTTTTTTTTAATTTTTTCATTACACCACCACTTATCGTCACATCATTTAATCATCATTGCTTTTTGTGTAATAATGTCGTCTAAAAGCTTTCATCATATTTATAATACAAAAAATTGTAATTTTGTAAAATCTCACTATCGATTAAGTTCATTAAGTTCATCCATCCATTCATTTTGGAATTTGGCTAAATTTATTATTTTTAATTAATTGTTAATTTTTAATTTGCAAAAAAACTATCATCACATCTACTTTTGGATTAGTTTCAAAATAAAGCTTTTATTTTTTATAACAAAAACAAAAAAATCATCATGGTTTTATTTCAAAATTAACCCCCACACACCCCTCGCAAATATTTGGCTATTAATCATGACTAAAAAACAAACAAGCAAAGCTCAAAAAGAGCTTCTGCGGCACAAAATTAACAAAAACGAAGGCTATGTGGCAGTAAGTACTTTGGCATATTTGGGAAAGCTTTTATGTATCTAAGTTAACTATCGCACAAAAATCAGTGTTGGTCTGATGTGTAATACCCCCCATCCCAACCCATTCACAACCCATAGACAGATTATTAACAATCTACGAACCAAAGAGCAAAACAATCGAAACTAATAGGTTCCACAAATCGTTCATCGGAACCTATGCTCTCTAGATAATAAAAGGGCTCACCATATTTCCTTTTGAAAATAACACGGTCCACATAAAAAATAAAATAATAATAATTTCTTTTGAACATAATTTCTTCAGTAAATTGTAGGTTCCACAATATTTTTTTTTTAAAAAATAATAGGTTCCAAATAATAGGATCCACATTTTTTCAAAAAAATTATTCCACACTATATTCTAAAAAAAAATAATAAATTCCACATTATTTTCTTTAGAAAATAATAGGATCCACATTATTTTCTTTAAAGAGTAATAGGTTCCACATTATTTTCTTTTGAAAAAATAGGTTCCACATTATTTTCCTTAGGTTCCACATTATTTTTTTTAAATAATAAGATCCACATTATTTTCTTTAGAAAATAATAGGTTCCACATTATTTTGGGAAGAAACTAATAAGTTCCACATTAATTTCTTAAAGATATAATAGGGTCCACATTATTTTCCTTAGAAAAAATAGGTTCCACATTAAGTTCTTTCGAAAATTATAGGTTCCACACTATTTTCTTTAGAAAATAATAGGTTCCACATAAGTTTTTTTTTAGAAAATGATAGGTTCCACATTATTTTCTTTAGAAAAAATATAGATTCCACATTATTTCCACATAATAGGTTCCAAATTATTTCCTTTAGAAAATAAGAGGTTCCAAATTATTTTCTTTAAAAATAATAAGTTCCACATTATTTTCCTTAGAAAATTATAGGTTCACCATTATTTTCTTCATAAAATAATGGGTTCCACACTATTTTCTTTAGAAAATCAAAGGTTCCTAATTATTTTCTTTAGAAAATAATAGGATCCACATTATTTCACATAGAAAAAAATAGGTTCGACATTATATTCTTTAGAAAATAATACGATCCACATTATTTTCGAAAGAAAATAATAGGTTCCACATTATTTTCGTTAGAAAATAATAGGATCCACATTAGTTTCTTTAAAAAATAATACAATCCACATTATTTTCTTTAGAAAATAATAGGATCCATATTATTTTCTTTGGGAAATTATAAGTTCCACATTATCTATTTTTGAAAATAATAGGTCCCACGTAATTTCCTTACAGAATAATAGGTTCCGCATTATTTTCTGTAGAAAATAATAGGTTCCACATTATTTTCTTAAAAAAATAATACGTTCCACACAAATTTCTTTAGAAAAAATACGATCCATATTAATTCCTTTAGAAAATAATAGGTTTCAGATTATTTTCATTAGAAAATAGTAAGTTCCACAATATTATCTACAGAAAATAATACGTTCCACAATATTTTCTATAGAAAACAAATTTTTTATATGGAAAATAATACGTTCCACAATACTTCTATAGGTTCCTCAATATGTTTCAAAGAAAATAATAAGTTCCACAAAATTGTCTATAACAAATACGTCCCACAATATTTTCTATATGAAATAATACTTCCGAAAATACTTTTTATTGAAAAAATACGTTCCACAAAATGGTCTATAGAAAATAATACGTTCCACAATATCTTCTATAGAAACAATACGTTTCACCATATTTTCTATAGAAAACAATAACTTCAACAATACTTTTATAGGTTGCACAATATGTTTCATAGAAAATAATACGTTTCACAAAATGTTCCATAGAAAAATATGTTTCACAATATTTTCTATAGCATACTACATTTTCAATAGGAAATATTATGTTCCACAATATTTTCTATGGAAATGAAATTATTTTTCCTATGACAAAAAAATACGTTCCACACAACTCTGAAATAAATTCCACAATTATATTCGACATGCAGCTTTGGAATATGGCTCCTGGTGATTGCTTGATTATATGAAAACAGACAAATTAACAAAGCTTTTCTCAAAACATAACATAATCCCCCTAACCCTGGTAAAGGTAGCACATAAACAAGGTCCACATTTCTGTTGGGGCAAAATGAGAATCCCCTGTCCCCAGAAATATTTGTCATAGGTTAACCACCAACTTCCAACGATTACCATTTCCTCTATTATTATTACTATTTAGGTCGGCAGTTATTCCTACGAACCGAATGCCTTCAAGTTCGGCGATGAACCCTACAGCTATGCCCAACTGCAAGCGCCAATGCGTAACTATTGGCAAAAGAATTTCCAAATTTCATTCGATTTTCGTTCATTCTATCCCAATGGTCTGATATTCATGGCACCCGGTATGAAAGATAAACAGAAACACTACCTAGCCCTAGTCCTAAAAGATGGTCACCTATTGTTGATTGTGCGCGGTAGAAGGCGGGAGGAGCTGCCATTACATGCCAAACTGAATGATGGTGAATGGCATCATGTTACCCTATCATGTACGGATAGAAAACTAACAATGTCTGTGGAGATAGGAAAAACAGATCAAAAAACTTCCGCACAAATGAAAATACCCAAAAAGATATCAGCATCGAATGTAATGTTTGTGGGTGGACTTCCAGAGAATCCACCAAAAATGCCATCAGAACTGTTGATGCGCATTGAACCGTTTAAGGGTTGTTTGCGTAAATTTGCCATTGCCAATAATACTCAGGATTTGGCTAAGCCAGGAAAACATCTACATGTGGGCCAGTGTTTTCCGAATGTGGAGAGGGGTTCATATTTTCCCGGAGATGCATATGCCGTTTATAGTGAGTATATTTTTTGGGATTTTTGTGTGGTTAATGGGAAATGCTTATTTTTGCTTTCCTTTTTATTTCATTTTCTTTGCAGAACGCAACTTCCATGTGGGAAAATATTTGGAACTAGAAATGGAATTTAGAACTTCAGAGCTCTCGGGTATATTGCTAAGTATATCAGAACCAACCGGTTTTCCGGCATTGTCCTTGGAGTTATTCAATGGAAATGTAAGTATTTAACAAAAAATGTAAAATTATAAATATAATAAAAATAATTCTTCAATTTTTCGACCTTCCGAATATTGAAAAAAAATAAATTGTAGAGTTTAATATAGATAATATTAATGCTCATTATATATCTACTTACCTTAAAATAAATTATCCTGGCATCTGCCATTTTATTTTAACATCTGAAAAAAAGAAAAAAAATATATTAATCATATAAACTATACAAATTTATTCACTATATAATTTATTATTTATATATTTATAATAATAAAATTAATTTAATTATAATTTTTTTATTATTTATCTTCCTTCCTATTTAATTTTTCAAAACCAGGTAATTTTCTCTTGTGACTTGGGTGATGGCAATCCGTTCCGTGTTGAATCGCTGCTTCCCACCAAATATGCCTTGTGTGACAATAAGTGGCATAACATTTCCGCCCTGTACGATTATGAACAGATTGCCCTGAGAATTGATCAAATGCCAGCAACAATTGCGGTAGCTCAACAGCGGACCGCTGGTAAGGTTCAGACCAAATCACCGCTTTATATTGGAGGAATTCCTGGTAAGTTTAATTTTTTTAATAAAAATAAAAAAATGGAAATGATAATGACATTATGTTCGATTTCTGGTCTCGGTAGTTGATAGGACAAACTTTTAAATTTGGGCAGCTTTCAGATTTTAAAAAAATTATATTTTGCATACCCTGCAGCCTAAGATACACCCCTATGTCATGTTGATTGATTGATTGATTTTGTCACTATGCTTTAAACATGTCTGTCTGCTGCAATCACGACATTTATTATTAAAAATATGGCATATCGGTTCACAGTTTGGAATAGTCTCAATAAAACTGTATTGCTAATTGTCGATATTTTGAAGGTTATACTAGACGCAGTTTTGAAGCGAAGTGGTTTTTATTTCGAAACTAGAGTTATCAAAGCGTGAATCTTCGTGGGCAATGTTTACATTTTGAAAAGAAGCCGTTTTCAATCTTGAGCACTTTCAATGGTTCTCAATCTGTAATCAAGTTTCTCGAAGAAATGGTCCAATCCTATTAAATTTTCTTCGTAGAAAGTTTTCAAACCAATGCTATTGTAGTTTAAAATACGTGATCCGTGCTCGCATATATAATTGGTATTTTTGAGGTCCAAGTCGCATTTGTCCGAAGTAGACGTAATTTAGCACTCAAGGCTCTCAGAGGGTACAAACTTCCCGTGAAGAGAATCTTCATTAAAGATCCATGGTTTGACATACTTCTTATGTAAGGGTTCCGTTTCGTTCTATTTTGTGGTACTTTGAAGGTTCCAGCCGGCGAAGTGGTTGCACTTTGATGTATCGAACTAAGAGTAGTCAAAATGACTCCTCGTAACATAGAACAAATACAGGAGGATTTAACTTATCTTGCGTACTGGAGGGATATTATCTCGTGTTTAAATGAAACGTTTATCCTGGTCAGATTTTATAGCTTTAGTGACTTCCACGCCTTCTCATGCCCTTATGGTCGCCATTTCTTCAGATTAGTCGCTGACTTCGATATCTTTTTGTTTAAACCACTAGAATTAAGGGACCTCCATATTGCGAAGATTATCCAATTTTACCCTGGCTTTCGTTGAGATGCGTGGTTTGTTAAAGACTTATGAATTACCCGGGTATGAGGTTTACGAATCACTCTGAAACCACTACAGGAAGTCTATAAGTTTCACAGCTCTTTTTGGATACCTACACATCCTTCTTTCGCCTTTTTATATTTATAGTGGCTTCAAAGTCTTCTTAGCACCTTACTTGGAGGGTTGTTTTAAGGTGTCATCTGCTGAAATGCATCCCTTCTTATAATACCTTTGAGATATAAGGGTTGGAGCATTCCGAATTACTTTGAAATCACTACAGATAATTTATGAATTTCTTGGGGGTTACAATGTCATTGGCTTTTGGAATATATTTTGCCAATAACCACCTAAGATGTTTCCCTATTCTGTTTAAAAAAATCCAATGCAAGGTCGAAGACCTCAAATACACACTATATCAGAAGAATATTTTCGAGACGTGTCAACACTCACTTTCCAAACAATCAAGTATTTCGACTAGGTATAAGTGTGCAAAATCTCTTTAGGCCCTGTCTTCGTTGCAGGTTAACCGTCTTTGTAATTACATTCTCTTTGAAAGTTGAATCGGCATTAGATCTGGAAATAAATGTTGCATCCAATTATCGAAGACTTCAAATAGAACCAAACACGTGCACCGCATTTTTTGTGAGGCCTAATTTGGCCTATGAGATGATTAATGTCAACACTCTAATTTTCCATTTCGACTTTGAAATATTACGTCCAACTGTGCAAAATCTCTCCATGCTTTGTCTTTATTTACGGTTCACACCCATTTTTGCATCGTCTTTGGTCCATGGTCCATTTTGGTCCATTTTTTGCCGCTAATCCGTTAAGAAGCTTTGTCAGGACGAATAATCTAACTATTAGGGTGTAGTAAGAGATTTGTCAGGTCAACGATCTGAAATACTTCCTACGACAACCGCCGAATCTTTACGGCCAATTTTTGGCGATGCCAAGTTTACAAGTAAATATGAAATGACTGGAATGTCCATAGGTCTCAACACTCTGACTTTTCAAACTATCGGGTATTTCAGCTTCGACATCTTACGTCCATCTGTACAGAAGTTCTTACGGTGTTCGATTCGTTTGTGGTTCACTAGTTTTGTGATTATTATCTCTTTGGAGGTGACATCGGCTCTTGGAATATATTTTGACGCTAAGCTAACATTCTACGAGATTTTCCTAGTCGAAAAATTCCTAGTTGAGCAACAGCTCGTATCAACACTTATTTCATATATTCTATTTGACATTTATATCGAAATAATTTGGAAAATACATATGCGAATTTTATAACACAATACAGAAGTTAGTAAAAGTGTCCAAAATAAAAAAACAATGGAATACAAAACTAACCACACAATCGAATGAGTGGAGAGACGACGGTTGTTAGCAAAAGAAACAGTAGTCAAACGGTTTCAAAACAAACAACCACCAAGGGAAGGGAGAGGCGGATGATGTTACCAAAACAAAACACTGACGAACAAAGAGTGGTGGTGGTGTTGTTTTTGGGAGGGAGAAATGCATTTGTTTTTGTGAAATAGAGGGAGAAAAAAAATATCAACTCAAATAGTGGTAAACAGGTCGAAGTAGGAACAACATTTTGATATTTATGAAAAGTTTACATATTTTGGGAGAAATGGTGGCTTTCCCATGGCTATAAGAATTTTTTATTTTTTTTTTACTGAATGGAAATAATTAACTATGAATGATATTATGAAAATATTCCTTAAAAAAATTTTTTATACATAAATTGTAGCGGTGATTCCCTTATATGTGCTACTTCCTGAGGATCCCAAATTTATATTTTACATGGGGTATTTAATTTAACCCTATGTAAAATATAATCTAGAGATTAAATTTATATTAAAAATGGTCAACGATGTTACCCGGAAGTAACACAAGATTCGAAGTCGATTTAAAAATTGTGTTGAAGTCTGGTCTTAATTAGATCGACACCACACACAGATTTTAAGATGATATCTACAATAAATAAATTATTTAAATATTTCAAATCTTATTTTAAAAAATCTAACTAAATTCCCACATACTATTTTTCTACCTTCTCATTGCAGACATAGCCTCCAGTGGTTCCCTACTATCACGCGAAAACTTCAAGGGTTGCATACGAAATGTATCGATACGAAATGAACGACGAGATTGGGTGGATATGGATGCCCTGCACAATGTACTGCTGAGTGAATGTCTGGTAACGGGGAATTTAGATAGCTGAGTGAGTTCCAAAAGAAATCCTAAAGCCCAAAGAGTATTATGAGAAGGAGAAGAGTAAGAATGAGACGAAGTAAGAAGAAGATCGTATAAAATGTGATGCCATACTAAAAAACAAAACAATTAAACTGCCATATACTTAAACAAATAGAAAACGAACAAAAACATATAAGAGGAATAACAACAAAAGAAAATACGCTTAAAACTTAAGAAAAAAAGCTATGCAAAAATCACAAAAGCTCGAAGAAAAACATTTTTTTATTTTGATTTACAACGAAATCGAAAAACATTTTTGGTTATACTCATGTTCAAAAAAAGTGAGGAAACTTTTAAAAATGTTAATTTTTAGGTTTGAAAAAAAAAAACTTTTGTGATAAAGCCATGTCTAGTGATTTTTTTGTCTCTTTCGCCCACATACTTATGTGAGTACACGGAGAAAAATCTTTGCTAGCAAACTTTTGTTCTTTCTTTTCATGCATTTTGTTTTCGATAAAAAAAAACGAATCTACAATTATTTATTACTACCAGTGTCTGCATTTGATTGCATTATTTATTATATTTAAGTAAGTGTATTGTAAATTTAGTATTTTTTGTTTAATACTAGAGATCCCTGTTTTCTTCTCCCCCACCATCCTAGAAATGCAATAGTTTAAGTAGTAGAGGCTTTAATTAAATATATATTTTTAGTTTCATATTTATTTTCATAAATTATTTAAATATACATTTTCCCAAAAAAAAAAAAATAAAACAAAAGAACGACGGCAGGAAGGGCAATATGGAAACAATTTTAAAAGCCAATATTTTTTTCATTCTCCATAAGCCTTCCGCCTTAAAAAATATATTATGTAAAGAAAAAAAATAGAAAACGCAAAACCAGTGCCTTTTAATTTTTTATAATGCATTGTATAGTTTAGCCTAGACAACAACCACCACGTATTTTGTAATGTGTGTAAACGAACAAACGATTATTAATGTATGTATATGCAATAAATGTTTAATGTAATTTATTTAATATTAAGAATCTCTTGTTTTTAAAGTGTTTATATTTAAAATATATACGTGTACAGTAGATTTTTTGTTTATTTTTTATAAACTAAAATTAGAATTTTCTAAGAAATTATACAAAAAATTAACTCGCATTCATCATTTGTATATAAATTCATCATGTATGTATTTTTTACGAATCATTTTTATATACAAACAAAAATTAGAGAATAAGTTTAAATTTCTTAAGATAAATCCAAATATCAAAGCCATTTTTATATTTATTATATTACTTTTTCATTGTATACAAAACAAAAATATTTGTTTATAAAATAGAAATTTTACATATATATTTTTTAAATAATAAAAAATCGAAGAAATTAAAAAATATTGAAATGAAGTTTTTATTTTGGAATTATTGGAAGAGGTAAGTATAAGGAGACTATAAACGTTGAATTTTTTGCCTATATTAGGCTTCTTTTTTCAAGGCCTACTATAAGGCGTGGATTTTTTAAAGCTTACATTTTTAAGGTCTATATAAGGCGTGGATTTTTTAAAGATTACTTTTTCAAGGCCTATATAAGGCGTGGATTTTTTAAAGAATATTTTTTCACGGCCTATATAAGGCGTGGATTTTTTAAAGAATATTTTTTCAAGGCCTATATAAGGCCTACTATAAGGCGTGGATTTCTTAAAGAATGCTTTTTCAAGGCCTACTATAAGGCGTGGATTTTTTAAAGAATATTTTTTCATGACCTACTATAAGGCGTGGATTTTTAAAGGATATTTTTTCAAGGCCTATATAAGGCGTGGATTTTTAAAGGATATTTTTTCAAGGCCTATACAAGGCGTGGATTTTTAAAGGTTATTTTTTCAAGGCCTATATAAGGCGTGGATTTTTAAAGGATATTTTTTCAAGGCCTATATAAGGCGTGGATTTTTAAAGGATATTTTTTCAAGGCCTATATAAGGCGTGGATTTTTAAAGGATATTTTTTCAAGGCCTATATAAGGCGTGGATTTTTAAAGGATATTTTTTCAAGGCCTATATAAGGCGTGGATTTTTAAAGGATATTTTTTCAAGGCCTATATGAGGCGTGGATTTTTAAAGGATATTTTTTCAAGGCCTATATAAGGCGTGGATTTTTAAAGGATATTTTTTCAAGGCCTATATAAGGCGTGGATTTTTAAAGGATATTTTTTCAAGGCCTATATAAGGCGTGGATTTTTAAAGGATATTTTTTCAAGGCCTATATAAGGCGTGGATTTTTAAAGGATATTTTTTCAAGGCCTATATAAGGCGTGGATTTTTAAAGGATATTTTTTCAAGGCCTATATAAGGCGTGGATTTTTAAAGGATATTTTTTCAAGGCCTATATAAGGCGTGGATTTTTAAATGATATTTTTTCAAGGCCTATATAAGGCGTGGATTTTTAAAGGATATTTTTTCAAGGCCTATATAAGGCGTGGATTTTTAAAGGATATTTTTTCAAGGCCTATATAAGGCGTGGATTTTTAAAGGATATTTTTTCAAGGCCTATATAAGGCGTGGATTTTTAAAGGATATTTTTTCAAGGCCTATATAAGGCGTGGATTTTTAAAGGATATTTTTTCAAGGCCTATATAAGGCGTGGATTTTTTAAAGAATATTTTTTCAAGGCCTATATAAGGCGTGGATTTTTTAAAGAATATTTTTTCAAGGCCTATATAAGGCGTGGATTTTTTAAAGAATATTTTTTCAAGGCCTATATAAGGCGTGGATTTTTTAAAGAATATTTTTTCAAGGCCTATATAAGGCGTGGATTTTTTAAAGAATATTTTTTCAAGGCCTATATAAGGCGTGGATTTTTTAAAGAATATTTTTTCAAGGCCTATATAAGGCGTGGATTTTTTTAAAGGATATTTTTGCAAGGACCTACACCAGGCGTGGATTTTTTTAAAGGATATTTTTGCAAGGACCTACACCAGGCGTGGATTTTTTTAAAGGATATTTTTTTCAAGGCCTACTATAAGGCGTGGATTTTTTTAAAGAATATTTTTTCAAGACCTACTATAAGGCGTGGATTTTTTTAAAGAATATTTTTTCAAGGCCTACTATAAGGCGTGGATTTTTTAAAGAATATTTTTTCAAGGCCTACCATAAGGCATGGATTTTTTTAAAGAATATTTTTTCAAGGCCTACTATAAGGCATGGATTTTTTAAAGAATAATTTTTCACCACTCTGTGGTACAAGCAAAAGGAATCGAGATAGACCCATGGTTCATTTTGAGAATATGCATAGAATCACTTTTTGAGTCGATTTATGCATGTCCGTCCGTCTGTCCATGTTAAATTGTAAACAAACTATAGTTCGCATTTCTGATTCGATTTGGATGAAATTTGGCACATCTCATTTATTTGGCCCAAAGATGAACCCTATTAAAATGGGGAAAAAAGGTTCAGATTTAGAAATAGCTCCCGTATATATTTTCGTCTGATATAAGGTAAATGGTGCACCAAAGTACCTCTATATCTCTCGATATGCACGAAATTCGGCATATTGCACTGAATTTGGCCTAGAACGATGTGAGTTAAATTTCGAAAAAACGGTTTAGATATAGACTTGAACTTCGAGCGAACAGTGACATGCAATTGTAAGGATATATATGTACAACATACCCAAAGTGGTGAAGGCCCAGTCCGACTTTACTACTTTCCTTAGTGGTTTTAATTGTAATTTGTTTCCAACGTATTTTGAAAGGCTCACAACATTGTTCTGAACATCGAACAAAAACCAATCCGTTATTAATATGATGAATGACACATGGACTTACCACATTATTGATATCAGTTAATATTAATTTCTTTTTTTGAACAATCAATTAACATAAATATCAAATTAATTTCAGGCATTGAATTGGTTGACAGTCCTCACAGTGGAACCTGCCTAAAAACATCAGTTCAATCAGGACTTTATCCTTTCCTGAGTTTCTTTATAAATTCTCTGACAAGAGGTTTTACTGACTTGTGTTACCCCAGAGACTCCTAGTTAGAGAGAGGGGTGGCTGGGAGGGGGTTTCACTCTCTCTCTCTCTCTCTCGGTGTCATATCTGGCCGGGTGAATGCCAATAAAACAGATGCTGCATTAATTTCTTGTACAAATCTGACAGTTATAGTGACTGTAATCATGTGGCAATTAAGCCAAGATATACAAACATGCAACATAACAACAACAACAGCAGCAACAACACCGACAAAAAATGGCCCATAAATGATCTGCCACTGATCATGATGACGATGTCAAACCACGATTGACGATTGTTGTGGATGACGGAGGAGATTTAATGAAACCAAAGCCCCTGCCACCAGAGTTTTCTACAAAAATACAACTACAACAAAATGAAAGGAATCAACAAAAACATGAATGAATGACAGAAAACATATGACGCGCGTATCAAATATTGTCGTCTTGTATGTCAATTTTTTTGTTGCTGTGTGTATGGACCTCATATGTTGATGACAATGTTTTTCTCCAGGTAAGTGTATGTGTGTATGAGTGTGATTTTTTTGTCAGTGATATATTTACAAGCAATAATCGAATGATGAATGTCAATCAGGAATGTCGAAGTTGTGTTAATAAATTAATGTAGCAAACGGTCCAAAAAGCAACGGAACTAACTGCGCCAGTTTGATTTTTTTTTGTGGATTTGTTGAGCCGCACAATGAACAGCGGCGACCTTGTTTCTGTCTAATGACCCAATTTCTAAATGGTTTTTCAATAAACCTGCCTTTTAGGTTTTGTTTTTCTTTTCATTTTGTCTGTTTGAAATATTATTAACATACCAAAAATACGGATCGATCGACCAACTAACCACATTTAAACGTTGTCCGTTCGGTATTAATGGCTGGCAGAAAAGACCACCCCAGTGGTGCTCCGTTCAATGGGAGTTGTAGGCTGCCGGCCACACGTTTAACCCGGTTGCCAGGCTAATGCTGTTTTTTTGTTAGATTATTTTTTTCCATAAATAATTGAATATAATTTAACCCGTTTTCTAAAGACTCTACTGCGCGATTGCATCTAGACGAAA